CCTCTACATCATCCTTTTTCCTGTAAAGTTGCTCCATATCATGTTGAGTCATCCTCTGATGAAGAACCTCGTGTTCCTCAGATGCTGGAAATGTGCCACCCTGAGTGAAATATGAATTTATCTTAATATGATTTGTGGTTTTTGCTTTGGGGTGTATTTGGTGGATGTTTTCCAGATACATTTCAAATCTGTAACTGCTAAGTGAAAAAGCTCAAAGTAGATATTTCATTAATGGAAATATGCTGACCATTGACATTACATCATATCCTGGGGGTATAAGACTCACTGAGCTTGATCTTAAGCTGCTGGGTCAGGGTTTCCTGTACATATGATGTAAAGTGTTGCCCAACTCGTGGGCTAACGGCTGTTGAATAGCAGTTTGCTGACTCTCCCAGCAGGGGTCTCCCAGAGCACCAGGACAGACTAAGCAGCCTGTCAGAAATTCCTCCATCATTCTATCTGGCATGAATGCCATCTGTGAATCCACACTGAGCTGCAGGCTGTTGTGTTTAAATCCTTACTCATTGTCTCTGGCACCCCTAGTGTCTAGTGTATCTTCAGCGGGCCGACACAGAATTGAATCTAGGGGGAACTTTTCGACACTCTATGTTTCCTAAGTTGACATAATTTAGGGAATGAGGGTTTGTGATATGTGAGACAGAGCTGAAATGGCAATTCACCCATAGCTGGCTCCTGTAGCACCTCACTATAGGGGTGATTTTATATCTATATTTTTTTGCCAGGTTTCTGTCATTGATAATTCATGTATGGTATCAATAAAGATGAATTTTCACTGAAAGACACGGTTGTTGTTATTGAACTCAGCTGGGATGATTCTTTAGAGAAGGATACTTACTGTGATGTTAAAGGTCTTTTTTTAACCATGCAGAACTGAACCTAACAGGATAATCGCACAAAAATAGAAAACATCTGAAATTTTCTCCAGTAATCATGGGGAAGCAATTACTCAAGTATGCCTTGGTGAATCTTACCACCTACCAACAAGAACACAGTCATGGAGCTGTGCCTGGTGAAGCTGAAAATGAAAAAGTTTAAAGTGGAAAGTCAACAACACACTGCGGCCCTTGTTAATGGTCAAATGGTCAGGGTGCGAATAATGTCCATGACCTGTTTGCCGGTTTTTGTTGTAGCAACTTGTTCATTCTTTCCTGGCAAGGCAGGAGTCATGTTAGTTGCCAAGAAAATTGGAACGACAACAAATAACTGAAATTTTGACAAAGGCAATCTGTAACAGGTAGCTGATAAGACAGAGTGGAGGTGTCTGCATCCTCTCCGCCAAGGTGGTGAATCAAACAAGCAACTCAGACATACTGTTAAAAAAAACAGACGGAAGAGTGTGTTGACATTTCAGTTTAGCACATTTCGGCACTAAGAAGTACATTTAAGCTGTTAGACAACCACAACATGCTGGCCTTCACTTGTGAACATTTTGATCCAACAAAAGCTACCAAGTACTGCTTGGTATTCGAACATGGATGCTAATCCTTGACCTTGGGATCAGTATGTGTGATAAAATCTCAAGTTATACTCACTAGCCTTTTGAGAACTTTCAACCACACCATGAAAATGTAGCTTATGTTAATGTACAATTTTGTACCAATTCGGCCTCAAGTATTGTTTAAACAAGGACGAATAAAGCTGCAACCATGTACACCCACACATTCATGCACTCACACACACAACCTCACAAACTCTTGTCCCTAGTCTAGTGACTCTGCGACAACCTGTTGTCCCATGAATGCGAGTTGAGTCCGTGTGTATGTGTGTGTGTGTGTGTGTGTGTGTGTGTGTGTGTTCTGTGTTTTTTACCTTGTTCCCCTTAGAAACAATAAAGTTGAAGCTGATGTCAAAGTTGGTTCATAAACTATGACGGGATGTAGCACACACACACACACACACACACACACATACACACCCTTCACGTCCACACAAAATTTCAGCCTCTGAGAGCAAAAAACTGTTAGCGCCAAAGGGTGGGAAAGTTTTGTGAACCACCAACAAGGAACAGGTTCCATTCCTGTTCACACACTTAATTTTGATTTATTCAAAGCATGTCAACCAAAAATAAATTGTTTCAGAATCCTGAAAATTGGTCCCCAGCTGGAACTAAAAAATAAAAGGTACTCCTTAACCAACAGTTCAAACTGTGAGAACAGGACATCAGTGGGTGTGTCACATTTACAAATTGGAAAGAGAGGATGGAGTCTTGCACATGGTCCTTTTTTTTCAGGTATCCAATGCAATCTACCATCTTGGTACTGATTACTTCTGCTGTGCATTGTGCAGTGCCCTCTGCTGATAATGCATCATTGACTACAATTGTTCAGCTTAAAACTGGTGGAAACACTGTGTTGCCTCTTTCCATGACAGCTTATCGGCTCCGAATCGTAGTTAGGAACACCCTCGCCTATTAACATTAATTTTAGCTTGGCTCGTTATTAGCTGGTAACTAACTTCCGGACCGCTCTGCAGAGGGAAGGATGGCGAGGCGTTTTGGTGCCTATCACCAACAATGGCTTCACCACAAAACAGTAAATATGGCCTTATCATGAGGTCTAACAGTAACCTTGAGCTTATCTAGACACTTGATACTGCTATCATCACTACTTGCTGCCTGCCATCTTCACCGTGACACACCGAGAGAGCTGCTTCCCTCCATACACACACACATAATGAAGTACATGTCACACCCTCACAGGTTAACCACAAGGCCACCGCCCGTAAAGGGGACAAAGGGTGAGCTGGTAACAACTGGCTGGTTTCGCTAGATAGCACCAAGGTTACAAGAGTCCTGAATGGAACCGGTTCAAGAACCAGAGATAATTTGGTGGAAAAAGGTGTAAGAGCAACCTTTGGAGCTGCTTGTTGCAGCTAAAAACTAAGTCAGTCATAGACTTGACTTCAATTTCTGTAAGGATGCTTCTGTAAATCATGAATACACTAATCAGCCAAAACATTAAAACCACTGACAGGTAAAGTGAAGTAAATAACACTGATCATCTTGTTACTATGCAATGTATTGCTGGGAAACTTGGGATCCTAACACCTCTTGACACGCACCATCCACCCGAACACCACTGTGGACCAAGCAAACCCCCTCATGGCAACAACACTACCCACTGGCAGTAGCCTCCCCAGCAGGACAATGTGTCATGCCACACTGCAAAAACTGCTCAGGAATGGCCCAAGGAACATGACAAAGAGCTTAAGACCTTGACCTGGCCTCCAAATTCCTCAGATCCCAATCCAATCGAGCATCCTTTGGACATGCTGGTATGTTATCTCGCAACCAACAGGACTCAGAGGATCTGCCGTAAGGACCCTGGTGCCAGACACCCCGGGGCAACCCCAGACTTCCTGTGTCCATACCTCGACATTTCTGTGACCAATCCGTAGAGGCCCCACCGTGGATGGGCAGTACGTCTAGGGGTAGTGGCACATCCCACAGATGCTCAGTCGAATTGGGAACTGGGAAATTTGGAGGCCAGGTCAATGCCTTGCGCTCTTTGACATGTTCCTTGGGCCATCCGCAGTTTTTGCAGTGTGGCATGGGGCATTATCCTGCTGGGGGCACCACTGCCATCTGGGAGTACTGTTGCCATGAGGGGTTTGCTTGGTCTGCAACGGTGTTTGGGTGAGTGGAGCGTGTCAAGTAGCATCTACATATATACCGAGACCCAAGGTCCTGCAGAACACTGCATTGTAACAAGATAATCAATGTTATTTGTTTCACCTGTCAGTGGTTTTAATGTGTTGGCTGATCTGTGTATGTCCACAGGTGGGAAGCCAGTGAGGGATTGCATCCTTATTGCAACACTAACAGACCAACCAGGAGGAGTTTGGTGCTGTTTCAGGAGCACAGAATCATTGAGTGGCAGCACCGCAAGGCCTTGATAGCCTTCACATGCCAAAGCCACTTGATAAGAGCTCTCTTGGTAGCAGATTAAAGGATGAGCCTGTAATTGATGACTTTGGACTGAGGTGAACCAGTGACGAGTGATTGGCAATGGACTGTGCACCTGCTAAGAAAAACAAGAGTCGCAAACAACACTCCCTCTGCTTCATTTGCATTGGTAGAGTTCTGAAAGGCAAATCAGATTCATGCATTTTGTACAACCGTGTTCCTTTTCATGTAAATATATTTTCCTCATTTGGGCAACAGAGGAGTTTCACAGAACAGGAAGTGTCATGATGCAGTGCAGATGGTGAAACAAACTGACAAACTGGACTTCATGAACAGTGATGAAACGAACGAGTAGAGTCGTTGCACTGTTTTCTCTCCCTCGTCAAAGTGGTTCCTCGGCAGAAGCAGGTTATAGGTAGGTGATAGTACTATCTCCATCTTGTCCTAGTGTGGTTCTTTTTCTCCTGCAAGTTATTTAACAGTAGGTGTAGTCCTCCCTGAAGAGCAATAGCTTAATTCTTGTCTTGGCTTGTTCAGCTGCAGAGTTATATTGTAAATCTCCCTCTCTGACAGTGGTGATAACATGTGGAAAACAGGATTCCTTTCAATAATTAAATATTTTTGTGTATTTCTTGGCACCATTCAGATATTGTGTTCTCAAAACTCCCTTTCTCAAGTGTATCCTTCCCAGCTATGTTGTCCTGCATATCTGGGCTGCGTTGTTGCTTGTTTGGACACCACACCATTGCAGATGTGGTCTGATTTACTTGCAATGACTGGGTGACCTAAAATTACCCCTTCAGCCAGCGAAAACAAATATATCTTTGCACAATTTTTGCTGGCACCTTAGGGCTGACAATTCCCATCTTCTCCCCCTGACACACTCCAGAATTACAAAGTAGGGATTAGAAGAACATTTGCTGGAAGATAACTCTACTATTTATTTACTTCCTTCCCACAACTCTCATTTCATTTTCCCATGTAGTTCCCACTCGCTCAGTGTCTCTCTTTAAGACCCTCCCTTTCTCCCTCCTCCAGTCCCTTCTCTCCCTCCCTCTCCTCTTAGTGCCAGCGCTCTCCAGGCAAGCACACAACGAGCTTCAACTTTAAAGCAGGAGCACTATCCAGTTTCTACAGGACTGGAAGAGTCACACACACACACACACCTTGCTGAATTACTGGAGATCAGAGCAACGGGACTGTCCTTCACTGTCTGACTGAGGAAGGTGAGTTGACCTGAGATAAAAATGCTCATTCTGCTTTCCTGTGTCTATATTTTGTTTCCCTCTACATTTCTATTCCTTCCTTATCTGTCCTCTCTTAATGTTGAAGTCACTTTTTTATCCTGTCACTCGCACCCTTACACCAACAAGTGTTTAGACCTGGAGGGACAGACTGTTTGTTTCCGGTGCTGTATGTACAGTAAATGTCCTCAGGCTAAAGAGACGATCATGTTATCTAATAATAGCCCTTAGAAAAAAGAAAAAAAAAAGACAACAAACCAAAGCAAGAAGACAGTTTTCTCTGATTTCAACAGCTTGGTTAAAACATAAGAGGAAGTAGATGTGTTCAGTTAGTGTAGACCTTTACCCTTGTGCTGGTATTTGCTTAAGAGAACTACACCTACAAAAACCATACAGGTAATGAGTGTTGGACGATTACTGATATTCAAACGTGGCGCTCTGGCAGAAGATATTTTCACCCTTGTTCTGATGAATGTTTAACTGTCTGTTCTGAGAGACAAGTATGGGTTGGGATAAACAGAGGTGATGCAGGTATCTGAGGTGGATGCAGCTTTTCCATGTGTTTACACTGTGAACACAGCAAGTCGTATTGTAATAACCTGTCATGTGTCATTTTTTCCCAAGACTTTTCCTGTAACTTTTAAATGTCAGCACCCCCTGTGCTTCACAACTAACTCCAAAGTCCCTAGTTTAGTAAAGATGTATGAGATAGAAGCTTAAAGGGCACAGTTTTTCCCCAGAAATGAAAGAGGTGTTGGCTTAACATTTACATTTCCCATTTACAAAATACCATTGTTGAGTTTCTTCTGCAAAACAGTTTTTTTTCCGTTGCCATTTTGTAACAAACTGCACTGCGACCTCTTTCTCTGTGACTCAGTCTGTGGGTTTCATCTGTAATTCCGCTGCCTTCTATGAGTGTGTCATTGTATTCAGCCTTTTTTGTCTCATTTCCAGGCACATCAAGACAGAGCACATGCCATGAGGTGATCACTCCATAAACGCGTTCTGTCTGGCCCTTTTCACCTGAAGACATGGGGTTATGTGAGAACATCAGGGGTTGGAGGTGGCAGGGCAGCGCTGGAGCGTTCAGGGCCACTCTGGGAGTGTTGATGCTGGGGCTCAGTGTGGCCCAGTCTGTCCCACCCCAGACTGTCTGTCCAGCAGCAGCGGCCCCACACAGCCTCACCCAGCCCCACTACCAAGACACAGCAAACTCCACTGTGGGCTTCATGTCAGCTCTGGTCCAATCCTTCCTTAACACAGTCCAGCCGAACCCTTTTCCTAAAGGTCAGTGTCATAACAATTACTCACTAGTCAAACATTTTGAATATTTAAAACATATGCTGTCATGTTCTGATGCACAGGACCCTGCCTACTTACTCATAGCATAGCATTAAAGGGACAGTTCACCCCCAAATCAAAAATACATATTTTTCCTCTCACCTGTAGTGCTATTTATCAGTCTTGATTGTTTTGGTGTGAGTTGTTGAGTTTGGAAGATATCAGCCGTAGAGATGTCTGCCTTCTCTCAAATATGATATAACAAGATGGCACTCAGCTTGTGGTGCTTAAAGTGCCAAAAAAACACATTTGTAAACCATGATATTTTTCCAAATATCATGACCTGGTTACTCAAGATAATCCACAGACCTTGTTGTGAGCAGTTTCATGTAGGAACTATTTTCTTTCTGCCGAACTACACCCGCCAACCGAATCAATGCGCAGAAGGAAGCATGCATCTACTCATGGGCAAGAGGCTCATGCTTGTAACTATGTAGTCTCTATACAGACTCTACATTCACTGAATGTAGAGTCTGTAGGCAAACCCCAGAGATCTTGAGAAGAGCGGAAGAGCCCTGGTTTCCGGTTGTAGGCAGGGCCGTCGCAACCGGACAGGCAAACTAGGCAATTGCCTAAGGCCCCGAGCTAGAAGGGGGCCCCCCAGACACGGCTGACATTGGTCCATATCAATGACAATATGATGGAACCGCTATAGACACTGCAACAACGACAACACGTTGGAATCCCCCCTAATGGGGCCCCCTACTAGCTGCTGCTGGCGAGTGGCTAAGTAGGGTGACCAGACGTCCCGCACTGTGCGGGACTGCACAGCATTTCTGTCTCTTTTCATGCGTCACGCAAATTGAGACCACGTCCCACATGATTGGTTGCCACCCGCACTAACATTGTTGGAGTACTGTAGTACTACGGTACCTCACGGTACCACTACTGTGGGATAAGTTCAAAGTCCCATCGCATGATTGATAGCCTGAATGGACTAGAGGGTGAGTGTCCATGCTCCGTTGCGCATGGACACTCACCCTCTTGCGCAAACAAAACAAATAATTCAGCACGCTATGCAAGTACAGATTTCAACCAGCAGCAGAAACTAAAGACAAATCCTGCCAGTTGTGAGTTGAACGGGGGTGACAGACGCCGTATTCCTGTCAAATACGCCAGAAGATAAGGCTTACCAGCAACAGGGAAGTCCGGCTCCAGGTCCAGTAATTTCCTCTTTGTTGATTTCATGACTGCCCAGAAATACCTGAACAGCCGAGCCATGCAGGCACACAGGTGTGATGTGTCAGAGGAGAAACGAGCCGTTCATATTGTCTCTTTGTGGCAGGTAACGGCCAACAAACCTCACCACACTTTAGGGACTGTTCTTTACTTATGAAGGGACTGTTCTTTACTTGTCAGGGGAGGAGGGTGGCTGGTTGATTTTTATTTTATTCATTTATTTTATTTCAATCCCCCCATGTTAATAACTTATTGATGCTGTTTTTGAAGTATGAATAAGTCAATAAGTAATTTATTCCACTGAAATATCATTGATGTATTATAGAAAAGTGATTTATCTTTTTATAAATGACAAAAGGCACATCTGCCTCATTTTTGCTGTGGTATCGTGATACTACTCAGAACCATGATACTTTCACAGGTATCTGGGGGGGGGGTGGGGGGGTGGGGGGCGTGCCTCTTGCCTAGGGCCCCCAGAGTGTCTTGAAACAGCCCTGGTTGTAGGCTGTTTGTAGTCCGCGTCATATTAACCAACCACGTTTGAGCCGGCTGCAGTTGTTGCCAGGTTAAACGGTCCGTGCGGTGAACTAACGAGGCTGAACATAATTGGCGTCACTGCAAACTCTGGATCCATCGCAATGGTTCAGCATATTTACTTATATATAAATGGAAGTCGGAAACGGAAATTTGCCTCCTCTGCCCAAATCAAACCGGAATGCCAAAAAAATAGGGGGTCTGCCCCCAGAGGCTGTATCGCCATCTGCCGGAAGTCAGACACCGAATACAGCCGATGGGTTCAGAGAATGGTAACTGTGCAACATGTAAAGATTAATGGTGTCCTTCTTGGCTGAGCTGTGTTGTTAGCTAGCTCAGTGGTTCTAGGTGAGCTAGAGATGCACCCCAGTGATGACACTTTGAGCGCCACGAGCCCAGTGCCCTCTATGTCCATTATATTTAAGAGAAGGCAGACATCTCTACGGCCGATATCTCCAACACTGGGCAACTTAAGCCAAAACAAACTAGATTGATAAACAGCTCTACATGTAAGAGGAACAGTATGTATTTTTGATTTTGGGGTGAACTGTCCCTTTAAAACTTTGACCTGGCTTCAGCTCACATAGCAACCATGTGTAATGCAAATGACACTAAAATTCTTTCATGCTGGCACTGGGCAAAATTTCCCTACACAGACAAGGGACGCACTTAACCCTCTCACCTCCTCTAAAGCTAATAATGCCCATACAGAGAGATGTCAGGATTTGTTAATGAGTAATTTAATGGAAATTCTTGTATTTTGCCTGGTCAATCTTTAACCTCAGTGTCCTGGTTGGATGTTTTTAGTCTGATGTTTCCTCTGACTCAGACTGGTGACACACCTGTGGTCTTTTGTCTGTCCCTGTGACGTGCTGTAATTGCTCTATAAACTCTCTATCACTTCCTGCTGGGTATTGATTTTAAAAAAGGGGAACAAATGGGTACAAAAACATGTTGAACAACCTTTGCCCAGTTCAAAATCATTGTTAGCAGTGATCATCATGTTGGATATTGATATTGTGAGTGGATTTCAACCAGTATCCACTCAATGATGCATAAAGACACTGACAGTTTCACTTTAAATCATTCCTCGTGATCTGATGTGTGTCAACAGTTGGTCAAACACACTGTCTGTCATTGCTCTATAAAGTAAATAGCTTGATGACTTATAATATACTGGGGGTTTCTATTGTAAGCTACCAAGCCTGAGGTTATAAATGTTAGTGAGGATATAATAAATTCTTTTACTCTGTGGCCTCCTTCCCCAAGGCAGGTGGTCAAAACACAGGCTTAATATTAAAGTCATTTTAAAGTAATACATATAAAGTAAAGCAGCAGGTTATACAAAGCAGAAATACAAAGCAATGAGGTAGAATTCAAATTTCCGGGACGTTTACTCCAGACTACACTCTGATGTGATACAGACAGATGGTGGGAACTACACAAATAGCTCTTGTGAAGAGCACCTGAACAACATGTCTTCTCAGTTACTTGTGTTTGGTGAATAATATCCACAATAACAGGGTTCAGTGGGACCATAAACCAAAGGATCTGCATTGTGTGTTTTTGTGTGTGTGTTAACATCTTATCTGTCTTGAAAGCTGTCCTGGTTTCCTAGTAACCACGAGATGGAGGTGTCAGATTTCCGCTTTTACAATGTGAGAGATTAAAATGTTTGTATGGAGCACAGGACGCATTGTCCCCTCTGCCAAGCCTTTGTATGTGCGTAACTGGGACAGAGACTGGCAGAGAGGAACAGTCAATAGCTATCACAGGCCTCTATGTCTTCTGAAGCATAAACACTAAGTCACATTTACCCTCTATCTGATTTCTTTTCAGATCTGATCCTGAGAATAGTCAAGGAGTTGGAGCAACAGCAGTTAGATCAAGAAATCCACAAAGAAGTAAGTGTACATGAGTTATAGGACATTGTTATGAACAGCTATATGTGTGGGAAAAAAAACAGGCACACCCTCCGCAGAGCCCCTCAAGCTGGTAATCTGAGAGTGTTTAATGTTAAAGCAGCCCTGTGTGTATTTACTCCAGTCGACTGAAGTTACTGAGACTCTTTCATCCACTCAGATGGTTGACTATAACCACAGTAACGCCAAACTACTGTCTGGTGGTGTCTCACAGTGCTTGACGTCACGACAGACCACAAATCTGCTGCTGTTCTTCCTTCTTCACAACATTTTTGCATCATGCCATTTATCTGCATCTATGTGTCTGCATATGTGTTCAGGCCCTAGTGTATCAAGTGGGTTTCCTGGTGTGCGCAGCCATTGGGGTCCTCTACATCGTCCTGATGCCCATAGTTGGCTTCTTCTTGGCGTGCTGTCGCTGCTGTGGCAACTGTGGTGGGAAGATGTACCAGAAGCAGACGCCCTCCATTCACTGTCGCAGAAGAACTCTCTACTGGACTGCGTTCGTCACCACAGTCATTATCCTGTGAGTGTGTGTGTGCGCTCATGTGCTTTTTGAACAGCATAAAGATGCATTATCTGAAATTAGCATCGAATAAAGACAGCTTGAATGTGCATGCCTCACTGCCTGTGTGTGTCTCCCTTGGATTATATTCATGACACAAATTTAATTGTGTGTGTGTGTGTGTGTGTGTGTGTGTTTGTAGCGCTGGGAACATTTGCATGTTCAAAAGTAACGAAGCCATCAAAGGGAGCGTGGACCAGAGTAAAGTGGAGCTTGACAAAACTATAGACAACATCAGCTCCTTCCTCACAGCGGTGCCTCAGGTAAGACAAAACCTCTTGCTGATTGGACTGCATGTTATGAGGGTGGAAATACACAAGGGTCAGAGGTCTGGGGCCGCAATGTGGCAGCGTTTATCAGCACTGGTTGACTAATTAGTGTCTGAGGATTAGTCACATTAAGTCCCGCATCAATGTGCGTTGAGTCCACAGCTTTTGTGTGAGAACCAAACAGACCCCCAAATTCTCCAGTCAGTCCACTGATTAAGGACCAGCTCTGCACTCTACAGTGTCAATATACTTATCTCAAGATACAAGAGACTGGGAAACAGGTTGGAGGCAAAGGCAGGGTAGAGCTCTGTTTGTTCTTCATTTGCAAAGAGCTGCCAGGTACGATTAGCTCATGCTATAAGCCGTTTGACGTATGTTCTATTTGAACCCATATCTTATGTGCATGCTTTGTTTGTTTTCCCTCTGCCTGCCTCCAGCAAATCGACCATGTGGTACATGAAAGTTACAGAACCATACAGGAGGTTACCAGAAACCTAGATGGTAAGAACGTGAATCTAATAACATAAAAATAGAGGAAGCACTTTTGTTCCCTCTAACCGTCTGGTTCTTAACATGTGCTTAACAATCTCACACCTGTTTGTCTGTACAAATTAGCCATTGGACCTCAGCTGGGAGCAGAGATCAAGGAACGCTTCAGATGAACCCTGGATCCAGCTCTGCTCTCAGTCAGACTGCTGGACCAAGGTACGCTGTGTATGCATGCTCTGTCCTGTCTCAGTCTGAGCATGTAAATGCTTGTGTGCATATCTGACAGCAGATCAGTAATCATGTAGGCTGGGTGCTTTGTGTATTTCACTTCCTACCCTGACACTGACAGGCTCAATGAAGCTTGAATTAAGTCTTTAATGACAGGTTTCTTCTTTGTGGATGAGTGTTATGCAGTTATAAAGCTACATAACGACAAAAAAGCAATATACTGTACAGAAACATACGAGCACAGAAATAATATCAGTGATCCCCGTCCCAGTGGGTGGATTACTGCTGGGGTTTACTGGCCACAAACCAGAGTCTTTGTTTGTGTGACTCTTATTCACATTTTGTTGGAAAGTCAAAGAGCTCAGTTAATGTCCTGATCACATTTTTCCCCAATTTGAGTTCTTTAATGCCGAGTATAAGGCAATGCTTTGGCTACAGAAAGCCTACATCAAAATAAGAAAATCATTTAAACCGGTATCATAAGCAAAATACTAGGGCTGCCCCTAACTCAGAATTTTCCGAGTCGACCAACAGTTGTCATCTAGAGCCATGAGTGGACTAGTCGCCTGCATGTTTACCATATTAATTTAATTATCTAACTTTATATTTTGGGTGGGGCAACACAATGGTTTACCGTACCAATAAACCTTAATTAATATAGGCCTATATTTTATCTACAAATGCACGTCACACACTGAGTGAGCCGCCTGTTAATGATGCTGTGGGCAAAGCAGTAACGATTGTGCTAAGTGGCTAATGGGCATGTAGCTATGTACATGTTTCAGATGATACGTCATGTTTGTAGTCGACCAATGAAGATGAGTTTACATATCACCTTGGGTCGTCCTTCACCTTCTCAAAATGATCCCACACTTTGGATTTCCTGCCCGACATGTTATTAACTAGCCTGTGGAATTACCGCAGGTACCAGCCCTGGAAATTAGGGCCCACGTCTTTAATCTCCTGGAAAACGCTAAGTCAGGCGCTGGGTGCTACTCTCAGAGCGCGTATAACCTATTTACCTGCAATCCTGGGTGCAGAGCTGATCTTCTTCCAGGAGCTGTCTATAAGCGTGTAGGCCTATCGTCTGTATGACACGTGTAAAGCTCTGGGTAGCCCTGCACTAACATGATCAACTTTTCCGTATTTATCAGACTGAATATTTACAGAAGAAGAGAAAGATATCTGTCAGCCATGATTGGTTTGTAACGTGACTCCTGTCTGACTGCTGATCGTGGCCACTTCCTGTGTCTGTCCTTTCAAATTAAATTCCCACATGGTCCAGTCATATAGGTTTTGATTTAATTTGTCAAGGTACAGCTCCAAATAGAGTTTTTTTTTTTTTCTGCGACTAAGTGACCAATGAATTCTTGTCAACTAATGACCTTTCTGGTCAACTAACATTTGATTGACCATTAGGGGGCAGCCCTACATAATTACCAAAGTAATTAAAATAAATGTCATGGTAGATCTTTTTTTTTGCAAGTTAAGAAGGATAAACTTCCAGTCTTGATTAGTCAGTTTTTTTAATCATGCACACTTATAACACTGCAGTCACTACTATTTAGTCAAAATTGAGTTATGACTGATTTAAACCTTTAGATATCTGCTCTAACTTGTGACAAAATTTCGTGGCTCAATCTTATTCTGTTCTTGAGAAAGTAGGGTGCAAACATTGCAGTAATAATAAAATCCAACCAAAACTCAAGGCAAACCGCAGTAAATATAATAACAGAGCTTTGCCTTGGGTTCTATGAAATTTTGGATTCTACTGGGCTGAGGAAAATTGCAGTAAGCATATCACGGTGAAAGGTGAACGTGAGAATGAGGATGGTGCCAAGTCAAGATAATTGATAACCTGACACTGATCATAGCAAGATCAGTGATGAAGATGACATTAATGATGTTAAGTAGTCTCAGTTTAGGTCAAACATGATGAAAAATATTTCTTGAGGGTTTTCTCTTATTACTTTTAAATCTAACATCTATGAACAAAACAAATACAAATTGACTTGCATTACCTGTACAGCTGTTTAAGGTAACACAAAAGCAGAGTGCAGTAACTACAATTTTAGTTCATTTTTGGGGTCATAGGTCAAAACATTGGTCATGGTTTTAAGGCATAAATATTACTTTATGAATACCTATGTAATAAATGCATTCCCACTCTTCTACCTTTAACACATTTGGGTGGACAGTCAAAAACCTGTAGCCATTTCTCTCAGTTTCAGTGTTAGCGTAGTGGCTGCAGTTGGCCTTTGAAGGGCAGAGCAGAGCGCTGCAAATTAATCAATTCAAGACAAATGCAAATCCACTGGGTTTTGCAATTGCGTGTGGAGGTTGCTTGCATAAAGTTATCTATTTTCTTTTGGGCTGCAGTAATTCTGCTTTTTCCAAGAAGACAGATTAAGTGCTGATGCATCACTTACCGGTGTCGTGCAGTCTTAGACTCTCACTAAAAGCAGCTGGATGAAATCTCCCTTAATAATCAGTCTCCTCTCTTTTATGCTGCTCTTTTTATTTGGACGTTTATTTAGTTTCGCTCTTTAAATGGCTTTCTATTTTAAGGCCGAGTAGCGTTGAAAAGGTCATAGTCTCAGAGTGGTTATTACCTTTTAAACATGTGTTTTTCATTTGTGTGAGCAGAGACTGTAAACACCAGTCTTCAACTGAGCAAGCTGAACACATCTTTGACCCAGCTGCAGTCCACCACAGACCGCCTCCAGGCCAACGTCACTGCCGTCAAAAATCGCATCAATCAGACTTTATCCAACCCAAACTGTGCTGGCTGCAACATGCTGCAACCTGAGCTACAGAAACTAACACTGGACACCTCCATCACTGTAAGTACTGATTTTGTGTAACCTCACACGTAGTCGGGGATATTCCCATGTTTCCTTCTTGAATGGAGGAGTTCAGTTTGGCTGCTCAGATTACAAACTTCCTGGAGCACAGACTAGTAATCAGTGGTGTTAGACGAGTCGTCATCATGAAGCAACAGGAAGAATCATTTAGGCAATCAAACTGCCTGTGACGCAGGCTGAGACAGTGACACATGATAATAGCTCCCCATCTTTGGCTTTGTCTGAACAGCTGATTTGTCCTCCTCCCATCTGTTCTTCTCCATTCCTCCTACACTCCTCTATCTCTGACACACGCACACTCTCCTCTCGTCTCCTCTTGTCTTTTCCTTTTCTCTCCCCTTATTTCCTTTCCTCTCGTCTTGTCTTCTTGCTCATGCTCTTCTTTCCCCGTCATTCCTCCCTTCCTCTTTCCTCTCCTCTTGTCGTTTCCTCTCCTCTTTTCTCGTCTCCTCTTATCCTCTTCTTTTCTCTCTCTTCTTTTCCTCTCCTCTTGTCCTCTTTTCTCATCATTTCCGCTTCCCTCCTCCTCTTTCCTCTTTTTGTCTTGTTTCCTCTCCTATTTTCTCGTCATGTCTCCTCCTACCCTCTCCTCTCTCTCCTCTTTTCTCCTCCACTTGTTTTCTTCCTCATGCTCTTCATTTCCGCTCCTCCTCTCCTCTTTCCTTTCTTCTTGACTTGTTTCCTTTTCTCTCCTCTTCTCTATACTCCTCTCATCTCCTCTTGTCCCCTCCTTTTCTCTCTCCTCTCCTTTTATCTCCTCTTGTTTCTGCTTCTGTCCTATGTCTCGTCTCCTCTTATCCTCTCCTTTTCTCTCCCCTCTCTTCCTCTCCTCTTTTCCTCTCTCTCAACCTCTCCTTCTTTCTCCTGTTATCCCTGCCCCTCTCTCTCTTTCTTCCTCTCTTCTCCATTTATCTCTTCTCATTTCTGTTCCTCTCCCCTCTTTCCTCTTTTAACATCTTGTCTCTTCTCCTCTTTTCTCATCTCTTTTCATCTCATCTCCTTTCCTTGTCTCCTCTCTCCTCCTCTCATCTCACCTCCTCATCAGCATTTAAAGGAATGTACAGCATCATACATAATCTCCGTCATGACAACAAGAATAATACACTGACACAAAACAGAGATATCATTTATTATTCTTTGGTATCAGCCCATTTCATATTGGCCTATTGGTCTATTTTGCTTAACTCTGCCGCCCCCTTCTGTTAGCATGAAGTATAACACGTCATCACATGTGATGCTGGTCACAGTGGTTTCATGTTTGCGCCTCTGGTTGTTCTCCACAGATTCCCAGTTTGAATGAGTTCCAGTCTGCAGTGGATGAAGTCAACAAAGCGGATCTCAAATCCAAAATCAAGGAGGTCAGTGACTGATAATATAATGCCTGCCTTGTTAACTTGACAGAAAGAAATTCAACTTTTACACTAAATTTCAAAGCTATTTATGTGATATTATAAAAATGAACACACTGCTTGTCCTCTTTTTAGGTAGAGGGCTATTTCGACAGCATTCCCCAGACAGTGACCAATGAGACTAAGGATGTAGTTCAAAGTGAGTGAAGCTTATTTACCGTCACAAACTTTAGGCACTCACTTCTCTTTCAAATATGAATTTCATAACATTTTTACCTGAATAAGATCAGTTTTTTATAATACATTTTTTGTGCGTCCTTTAGGCAGCAAGCAGCAGTTGGGTGACATCAAAACACAGATCTCCCAGGTTACCAATGACATCCCTTTATCTGCCCTGACCAATGTGTCGGACACTCTGGGCCAGTTGCAGAGAGAAATCAACAAGATCACACCAGAGGCCGAGCGGGTCGAGCATATTAGGTAAAAAGCCTGGATGTGCACACACATGCTCGATGCAACAGAAAGCCCAAAAATCAGTCATCGTGTGTGTATTCTTCTCCAGATGGGCAGTGTGTCTGGCCCTGTGCCTCGTGGTCCTCCTGGTGGTGGTGTGTAACCTCATGGGTCTGGTGCTGGGCCCTGTGGGTCTGGCACCTAAAGCAGATCCCACAAAGCGCTCCTGCACGGCGGATTGTGGCGGCACGTTCCTCATGATGTGAGTGTTCATTTTAAGTCACATAGCTGATGCTCTTATCCAGATGGGAAACATCAAACTGTTCAAACTGTTTCACCTCCTGAACTCCGCGTTTGACCTCTGATCTGGATGTGGTTGCAGGGGTGCAGGTTTCAGCTTCCTCTTCTCCTGGCTGTTCATGATAGTGGTGCTGCTGCTGTTTTTGCTGGGTGGGAACATTTACACTCTGCTCTGTCGGCCCTGGAGCAACGGAGAACTCCTGAAGGTAAAAGAAAAACCATACACTTGCACACACCAGTATCTACCATGCTGTGGATGCTGTGTGAGATGTCTTTGTGTTAATTTTACTGCGTCCTCTCTCCACAGTTTATTGATACTCCAGGTTTAATTCCAGGGCTGGAGATTGGCCCAAGTTTGGGATTGAAAAGCAACATCAATATCTCTGATATCTACAGGTACGAGATGCAAATGAACCTCTCACACAGGAACATGTCTCTGTGTAGTTTAGTTTCATTTACCAGAAAATTAAATACATGTTTTTATTTTAGGTCTTTGCATTATTTTTCTTTAGGGGTCTAAAGTTCATAAAACACCATAAATTGTAATTAAGTAGGGCATCAAAGACATAAGTGACATAGCTTGTTTAAGCAGCTTCAGAGAGCAAATAATATCCCAGCCTCCAACTTTTTCAAGGACTTTCAAATCCAAGATTTCTTGAGAACAATTGTAATTTTGACAAAATTTGTTCACATAACTCTTGGGGGTATTAAAAAGAGATAGACCAGGCATGTCTTAGGTGCTGCCTTGGGGCTGGTAGTGGCCCACAGACCGAATTAAAATGGTCCGCGGTTTGTCTTTCAAAATATACTACATCTGGCCTGACTCACAATACTGGTAAATCAGCCAAGTTCAATTTGCATTTTTTCTGCTCACCTAACAAAGGCAGGACACATACAGTTTGTAGACATGCACCAAGTTGGAACAACACAGGCGGAACTGACGTGTTTCCATAAACAGACGGTAAACAGACGAATGGTTACCTAGCAGCTAGGTAACAGACACGGCCGTGGCAAAAAAGCGTCAAGTCAACAGCAAAAGCAGTGGAAAGTTTTACTTTTTTTTAGTGAGAGATAAACAGTTGCCTTTGTGTCATTTGTCTGTGATTTTTTAAATAGCCCATATGATACGAGAAGCAGCTGGCCCCCAGGTATTTTCATTCAAAACAGTTCGGACACCCTTGAGATCAGATTTGAGAGGAGAGTCTTGAAAGTGTGTACAAATATTCAATTAACTCTAGTCACAAGTGCATTGGCTGTATGACTCCCAGGACAGATTGCATAAGAAATGTCCCCTCTGTAACAGGTATAAAGAGGCAGACGGGACATTAACACATTCTCTTTGGACATGTCAGAAATTGTTTACTTATTGGACAAGTGTATTTGAATGTTTCACTAAAGCCTTTGAAAGGAACTGGAAACCTAACCCACGAGTCACCCTCTTAAGTGTCATGAATGTTTTACCTTTAACAAATAAGTATAAAGGCCATTTTATTTGGTATGGTTGTGGCAAGGACACTTATTCTATTTATGTGTGAGTCAGGCCGCTTGCGAATATCAGACGTGTAAAATGATCTTAAGCTCAATTCTGAGGCTGTTCTGTTAATACTTTTCTCATAGGTGATAAATATTGCAACTTCTGATCAATCCATATAAATTTCAGGCTTAAACAACTTCGGATTAGGCCCAACCCACGTTTGGATTTAACCCCACCCACGTCTGGCATAAACCCCGCCCATTCCAAGTACAGATACAGACACAGATACAGATACAGATAATGTTGTGCTCTCTCATCCCTTGCATTTAAAAAAGGTTCAGATTCTCTAATAAGAATAAGATGTTTAAGTTCTAAATGTTTTTTTCTGCATTTGTGAAGACATTTGTGACTGAGTTGTTATAAAATGTGACTAGGTGCTGTACAAATAAGTCTGACTTGATGTTAATGTTTCCAGAGACTGTGAGGCAAACCAGCCTCTGTGGACAACACTCCGCCTGTATGAGCTCGTAAACCTTGACGACGTGCTCAATGTGTCTAAAGTGAGTTTGCTGAAAGTCCTTTTTCAACAGTTCCAAATAGATCATGTTTAAATCTACAAAAACTTTATCAAACATATGTTGAAATTCACCCACAGTACACGGAGGAGATCCGGGAGCGCTTTGAGAACACAGACATCACTCTGTCCACCATCACTCTCCTGAGCCCTGAAGTTAAAAACCAACTCAAGAGCTTTTCCGACACAACTGCAAATTTTGATTCCACTGCTGTCACACAGCAGGTAGGCATCACTCATGGGCTTGCGTGTATCATTGTGTATATTACTGTCATATGTAGCTGTGATCCAGTGTCTCTTCCTTGTCCCTCTCAGATTAACAACGTTTCCAGCATCAATCTGAACACAACCGCAGATAAACTCGATGAGCTCGCTACCCTTCAAGTGAGTCACGGGACATTACACATAAGGCCCTGCTGATATTTTACTCTTTTCTGCACTACAGACACGTCACATGATTCCAGGCTGAATACCATTTTTTCTGATGCTTGTGTTCTTTAGCCTAACCAACCGTTTGCTTGTTTCTAGAAAAACGCTGATACTAAAAATGAGCTCCAAAAGGAAGCAATGAACCTGAGACTGATCCAGGCCGACATAGAAACAACTTTCATCCCACAACTGGTGAGTAGCCGGCTCTATCTCGGCTATCCTGATCTTTTCATTCTGGTTTTCCTTTTTTCCCATGTAGGCCATCAATCTGAATTTAAACACACACTTCTACTCCTTTCAGGAAAATGTGAACTTGACCATCCAGAGCCTTGTGGCCAGTGCGGAAAAGATCAATGTGAGTGCGCTGACTATTACCTGAAACTGCCTGAGAATAAAGGTCACTCTTCCTCTCTTTGTGGCTCATTCTCCCCTCCCTGGCTTCTCTTCTCTTTTCCAGGGAACAGTGGGGGAGGTGCTGAGCAACGTGGGAGCAGCACAAGACTTCCTCAACACAAATACGACACAGATCGTCAAGACCGTGAGTAGAGCCACGAGTCACATGAGTCAGAGGAAAAAGTGCTCCATGTGGTCTAATGCCTGTGGTCGGTCAGTCATTTAGCCACAGGGGCTGATGGGGAGGTGTGCGGCGTGTAGTTAAAACAATGTGCTTGTTGGTTTCACTGTGCATTCATTTAATTCAGAGTCCGATCATATTTGTCTCAAATTGTAGTTATGATTATTAGGAACTAATTCCTAGCTCATCTAAGGTGAGGTCCAGGATGACATTTTGTGTCATGGAAACATTCGTGGTAGAACTGTAACAAAAAATGAAAACATTTTAAGTATGTCATAAAGTAGGCTTCTCTCACAGCAGACGTTGTGGCATGTTAAAATTGCCATGTTAAAAAGCACGTGTTACTAATAACACTAATGATGGCTCTATTCTATTCAAGTGTTCACGTGCCAGCAACGCACAATACCAGAAACCTTAAATCAAAGCAGCTAAATGGAATCCAGCCATCATTAGTTTCATTATTTACACCTGTGCTTTTCCTGAAATGTCTGCTGTGAAAAGTTCCACAGGGTTTTAAGTACTAACACATATCTGACTGTCTTTTACCATGTGAGCCCTCTTGGCGAACCCTCCGACCGTCCTCAGGATCCAAACTAAACATGGACAAACTGCACTTGCTTACTATGCACCTCAGAGCAGTAACAAACAAACTCCAAGTAGTGAATCCAAGTAAATCCACTGTCTTTGACTGAAACTAAAACGCTTTAATTATCCATCTTGCACTTAAATCTTGACCCGCATAACCGCCATCACTCTTTTAAAGGATAAGGCTGGAGTTGTTCTGTACTTCTTTAATGTCAACAAATCCCATGAAGCAACCCAAACTAACAATGTTTTAGTATGTGGGTTTTTTCAATGGATTTTTGGTTAAATGTCTGAAATAAGATCTGTGGTTAACACATGCTTGAGGGACATAAAATACGTCAGCAAATACCCCACTGTGAATTTTGAAGCTTTCATGTTTCTTAAAATAACAGTTGCTAACAATTGGCTAGGGCGGCACGGTGGTGCAGTGGTTAGCATTGCTGCCTCACAGTATGAGAGTTCCTGGTTCAAGCCCAGGGTGGTGGAGTTTGCATGTTCGCCCCATGTCAGCGTGGGCTTTCTCCAGGTACTCCGGCTTCCTCCCACAGTCCAAAGACATGTAGGTTAATTGGTGACTTTAAATTTCCCGTAGGTGTGAATGTGAGTGTGAATGGTTGTCTGTCTCTATGTGTCAGCCCTGTGATAGTCTGGCGACCTGTCCAGGGTGTACCCCACCTCTCACCCAATGTCAGCTGGGATAGGCTCCAGCCCCCCAACCCCCAACAGGATAAGCAGTTACAGAAAATGAATAACAAGTGGCTGAAAGAGACTACAGAATGTCATCACGCTGACCACAGTCTTGTTGTGGTGGTGACATGATATCATGTGACTGTACTGTAGTTTGCTTTTAGCCTACCCTGCTGGCATTCTAATATGTATTCACTGTTGAATCAATGTCGTACACCACGTTTAAATTTTTTTTTTGACAGTAAGAGAAACAATATCACCAGGCCAATCCTTTAATGTTTTAATACATTATGTGAAGCACTTTAATTTGCCTCTGTGCATGAAACATGCTGTATAAATAAACTAATTGCCTCGCCTCATCATACCATACTGCCACTGCAGTTATTTACGGGTCACTTCAGAGGATTTACCCAGAATTCCACATGCCGCGATGGCCAGGCGTTCCACTGATTCCTCATGACCTCCCACTGTAAAGCAGCGAGAAAATGTGTGGAATTTACTCTCTTTCTCTCTGCCTCTCTGTCTCACCACCCGCAGGAGAGCAGAAAGTTTTTGGACTGTCAGCTGGGTTACTTCACTGTTTATGCAGACTGGGCCAACCTCACGGTAAAGTTTGTTCGGATGTGTTACTGTGAACGCACTCAAAGCAGATGAAGTATGTGTCCGATGTTTGTGTGGTTACTGATCTGTGTGTTTGCCCTCAGATCACACAGCAGGTGGGCCGCTGTGGGCCCGTGGCGGGAGCTGTGGACTCTGCTGAAATTATCCTCTGCTCGCACATTGTGGAGTCTCTGGTGAGGATCAGATGGTGTTAGCTCCACCTACAGCTGTGTTTTATCATCACTAACTGATTGACAAATACTCTGAAGTTTGAGAAATGTCACATTATGTTTGGCAAACTCAAAAACTTCACCCATGCTGTCTCTCTTTCTAGAATGCGTTCTGGTTCAGTCTGGGCTGGTGCATGATCTTCTTCATCCCCAGCATCATCTTTTCTATCAAACTAGCCAAGTACTACAGAAGAATGAAGTACTCTGATGTCTATGAGTGAGTAGCACAAACAAACAACTACTTCTACTAGATCTATTTACACACATATCCATGTGTTGTTGAAGAACCACATGACTGATTCATTTGACTGCGCTGACCTGCCATTGACCGCTCTTTATGTCTCTAGTTCCAGCGACCACTTAGTGATGAACCATATCCCCCGAGCACAGATGAAATACCCCTGAGAGGACGGCACATGTGGGCTACAGCTTTAAAAGACTGCAGGCACAACTGTGGCATCGCTTGACAAAACAAAGACACATGGTGCACTCCTGGACAGATGTGTCAGCGTGGTGAACCATCTCAAACTGACAAAATAAAATAAAATAGTGAGGTTACCGACTTTTTTTAAAGACGCAAAGCAGCTGCAGTGGTCTTAAAACAGATGTCAAACATCACACACAGCATCTTTGAATTGACCTCAGGGGGACACAGGGCGTAAGGGAATCTGCAGGGATTTTTCCATCAATTTAAAGAAACATTTCAAAGAGTTTTATCGTATTACATTATTTTTTTAATATGTATTTAATGTGTGAACTGAGCTGCTGCTGGAGTGAGAATATCTGCTTCAAATTTCAAACTCTAAAGCCGATCTTTGTTGAGAGTCGATCACATTTCCATGTGTTTACAGTGATGTTGGCGTGCAGTGCTCTCAGAGAATGCAGCAGTGTGTTACTGTGCCAACAGGCTTTTTTTACAATGTGCCAGCCTCTGTCTGTCCACTGCCACGGTTCGGCAACCTTATTCCAATGGGAAACACGTTTTAATTAAATTCTTAATTACACTTGCACTAATATTGGGAATCAAAGCACAATTTTTCTGTATGAATCATGAAATGAATATTTGTATTTGTGTGACTGATGTGGCCCTAACACTGCTGTTTGCAAACTACACAAAGCAAGTCTTTGCTTGCAAATATGTTTTTTGTACATATTGATTTTGACTGATGTGATTCACATATTGGATAACGATGATTTTTGTACTTTGTGCTCAAGTGTAGATTGTGTTTTGTCTGTCTGTTACACAGCACTTTATATGGTCTGTTTGCTCAATGTGATTACAAGGTTGTGAACATTTCTGCGAGCTGTTGTGAAAACTACTGTCAAGTAAAGATTGCCACTTATCAAGTCTGCTGTGCATTTTTCTACCTTTTAGCCGTGACGTGAGTGGAATCCCAGAGATCAGTCAGTCTATTCTCCACACAAACCATGAAAATGCTTTTCACAGTGCACATTTGTCGTCCCTTTGGATTGTACATGTACCTTCATCACACTGCAGCAGTTTGTCAGAAACGAAATCTAACAAACTCCACTGAATTCAGTCTCTGTACCGTCCCCAAACAGTTAAAAGCATGTTTTTTGATTTACTGTGGTACAGAGATGGTGCGTCTTTGTGACTGTATAATTACTGTCATGCAGCTATGCTAACAGATTAGCTCCCCACTCATGTGACACTGTGTAGATTAATTAACATATGAGAGGAGGAAATTAGCATGAGCTGGTTGAAAAGTAAGATGTGAAGATTGAACTTTTATTTGAATATTTTACAACAGTATGAATCTGTGTTGATTAACTCATGGTCAAATACCAACAGACATACCACAAGGGACTTTTCTAAGCACAGGAAGTTTTATAGCACCTGGATTGAGGATTTGAAAACCCCAGATTTCCCTGTTGACGACACTGACTACGAAGCAACAACAGACATTTTTCCTTAAAGGAGCAACTATCTTCTAAACTAATTCGAAACAGGTTTTAAACAATGCAAACCCATTTCTGAGATTCTATTAACTCACGCAGGCTTTTCTCTTTGGTATTTGCAAACTGCTCGGTTGGGTAAATGATGGATTCGACTTGTCAGCCAATCAGCATACAAATGAAATCACAAATTTGGTATTAGGTTGATGATCAATAGGCTCATTTATAGCTCAATCAATGGAGACAAAACAGAAGCAGCAGTGTGGTTATTAAATCTATAAACTGCATTAACTATAAGGTATAAGAAATATCACCATACTCTGTATTTTGTGGCATTCTCAGCTGCTGCAAGCTTCAGAGTTGCCTTTCTGTAGGTACTCCTGACTTGTGTGAAATATAAACTAACTCATATATTATTAAAATGTCTTTTAATGCATTTATCCTTCCACTGATGCAGCTCTGTAGCGCACAGTCAGCTGTTCAGCAGACAGAGGAACAGACACGGCTAGCCAGCGTCTGTCTGGATTTGTTGTTTGCAGGATGCCACCTATAATTAGAACAAGTGAATCAATGGCGTTACAGCACGGACGTGACTCAAAACCTTTGTAATACAAGAGCCTGGATAGAGAGGAAATTGATAAGAAGAAAGGAAGGTGTGACGCAAAATGAAAGAGAAAGAAAGAGGGAGGAAAATAGACAGGTTGGCTGAGGGATGTTATGTATCAGGTATCAGCCCTCTGCTATTTCGTCGCCCTTTTGGAAGACTCATCCTCTTATTACCCTCTCACGCTGAAGATACAGGACTCACTACCCCCCACTCATTCCACTCCTGTGATTGCACACCCTCACATCACCGTGTGGAACCTGCCTATTTGCTGCGAGAGCCAGCAGTTAGACACATGCATTCGGTGTCCTTATCTGTGCTTTTGTTGTTTTCAGAGTGGGTTAAGAGAAGCTTAATGGGTAACGAGTGAACATTCCTCGCATAGGCCTTGACCATGGAAATATTCGAGTGCGTTTACACACTCAAATCCCTCCACCAGATCACATATACACACACACACGAGACTGCAGCTGTAAGTGGATTTGTCCATGGAAGGGATATGGTGAAACTCAGAAATGGGGGCAGTGGATCATGTGAATGAATGATTGTGTGTACAGACCTCAAATGGCATAGCTGAGCTTTTATATCAGATGGCTGTTTTTCAGGTTCGACTGAATTAGCTGTAAATAAATGAATGAACAACCCTAAAAATGTACACTGGCTGAGACATGTTTGAAATTGAATACTGTGTGATTTGTCAGCTGAACCTGTTGCTGTGCAGTGGTGTGAATGTAACGTGCTGATAGAGCTGAACAAACCAGAACAACAGCAATGTGTGGGAACAGGTAGACGACAATAACATGTTTGACAGCACCATGAAAAGAAGCTAGCTGACAGATAAATGTGTTGTTTAGTGGCTCTCTGTTCAGTCCCTCCATCCTGCGGTGAAGAACAGCTCTCCATAACAACACCACAACAAATTAAAAGCTTTCAAAAGCTACCAGAGTGCAACCACAACACTGAACATCACAAGCTTCACATTTGTTGCAGGGCTGCAGTAACGGATTGCATTTCACAGTACAAGAGCTTTGATCGGGCCCAACAAAATCAGACCCTACATGAACTTAAAGTTTCTGTCAAAGCCCAACCTGAGCCAGAACCACAGCAGCTGTTTTGGGCCTGAGCCCAATTAGAAATCTGAATTTCCAATACAATTTAAAGTTAGCTAACGTCTTTTCAGTGCAGTAACAGACATTCGTGACACAGGATGCAGCTGTAAGAAGTCACTTCGAACACGACAGCACACTCTGGAACAAACTAGACCGAATTTGGACACTGTTGGAATAAACTGTTATTCAGAGCATCAGCGTCAGAGACTCTGGGCTGAGACGGAGGAGATGGAGCAGCTCAACCTAACAGAACAGTGACTGAATATGTAAAACTCAGGACAGCAAACAGAAGCTTTCTCCTCAGTTTAATAGCATACAGCATCAGTTCATAAATACTCGCATACATTTTCTTTTTTCAAATAACACTTAAAGTTGCTAAAGTTTGTCGAGCACATCCGGGAGAAATTCCCGTTTGAAAAGAGAAACCAAAAACAAAGTTTTGGGCAGATTAATATTTGACATCTGCACAGTTGTAACATCAGGCTGAGTGGCCTGTCTGGGGGAAGTCAGGGAATTCCCAGTGACTCTCAGATTTGCTGAAACATGTCTGGTACACAGCGAAACTCATGGCACTGAAGTGAAATCAGTCACACAGATTAAGCTCGTTCAAGTGTACACAGAGATTGGAATGATATCATTAGTACACCAATCAGAGCAGAGGGTAAATCAGCAGGCTTCATATTCAAAGTGTCATGGAAAAAAGCCTTTGACTGTGGAGGCCAGGAGCTGTTATCCTCTGATCTGATCTATCCTTTCTCCAGCAGAGAGACACTGTAGCAGGAATGTGACACTGCCCTGTAAATGAAGAGCTGCACTGTGAGAGGCACACTGATTGTTCTGCAGCATTTTAGAGTCTGATTGTCATTCAGCACTTTAACAGATGTCACAAGAGTTTCTCTGTCAGTACCTCACCTATTGTAGAAGTCTTCCAAAGATTGCTACAACATAGATAGCATTTTGTTTTGGAAGGCTCCACATTTACATACAAAGCAACACTTCTCTGACTAAGACAAGCCATATAAACTGCTCAAGCATTAACAAAGGCATCAATAGGCACTTAAATATGCTTTTGTTTACAGCACTTAATCAGAAAACATTAATTTCAACAGATGCATGATACAGACAATACTGACTGGGGTGATATAAAAGTGCAATCAGTTTCAGAGCATGGAGAAAAGAAGACAGAGGATCTAACATCTCTAATAACATTACCATCACTGGGTCCATGAAGATGTACATGACCTTATGCAAAAGCAGCAGGGCGCCTATGTTAGCCACAGCGTGCCCAACCCGCACTCGAATCCTAACAGAATTACCTCCGAAATTGAATTTAGAGTCGAACTGTGAGTCACTTCACTGGGTATTATGTCTGGAATGTCCTGCGAGTTGGGCTGCCCGGGGAGCAGAGAGGACAAGATGGAGTCTGGAGGGACAAATGGATGACAAGGATTTAAAGATGCTGGACAGGCAGACTGTTTGAGGTTTGGTTTACAGAGATTACGCAGTCTAGTTAAGCCCATCTAAACCAGGTTAATGTTTAAGCACTTGTGATATGTTAAGTACAAAACTAGAAGTCAGTGAAGGAACCTTGGACTCTCCTCCTCCTCTAAACCATACCACACTTAAAACAAACACAAAGGCTGGCTTGTCTCGGTAGATTAACCACTGCAGGAACACACTTTGACATCAACAACTGAAAGGCAGCTAAACTCGGCTACAATTAGTGGACATCTGCTACATTATAGGCGAGTACAGAGAATACTCTACACACAGATTCGATAAAACCCCAAATATGGGAGTTAGTGGCTTTGTTTTTGACATTATCATTAACTGATGGAATTCTGATAAAGGCTAAGCTTATTCAATGCAAGACTACGCAATAACATTCACGTGCAGTTAAGGCTTAAGAGATAAATAACATTGCAGACACAGTATATACACATTAAGACTTAAAATTACCTGCAGTATTTACACTGGTGAGATCTTCAGTAGTCATTTCATAGTTTCTAGTAGTCATACTTCATACCAATCTTTTTTAAAAACACCATCAAATGTCACAATTAACTGCATGAAACCTGCAACATGATGATATTACTCTGTTTTAACTTGATTGTCGACACACGCTGCTTCACAGTTTGGTCAGATTATGTGTGGAATGTTTTATGAGACAGGTTTTGTTCTCCATTTTGAATGTCTGTGGGAATCAAAGTGGGTTAGCAGGTAGCGCTACCCTAACGTTTGTGTATGTGGACAACTGCTGTTCAGGTGTTTCTGGGAGTGAAGGCGGGGCGACGTTCTCGAGAGGTGAATCTGTGCTTGGGTCTGTGACAGTCCTGGGCTGCTCTGCAGGCTGACGAGGAGGTGCAGGAGGGGGGAATGATGGTGACTGGAGGATGTCTGCATAGCGCTGGCTGGGCTTCATCTCCCTCTGAAGCACTTTTCTGAGCAGAGGTTTCAGCAGCCCGATGGTCAGCTGGCTGCTGTGGGCGTCTGCGAAGGGAGCAGGGGATGAGGTTGTACTTCCAAAGGAGAAGGAGGAGGAAGAGGAGGACGATGGAGGGGTGTTAGGGGAGGGGAGGTTTTTCAGCACCAAGTTGAGAATAGTGGTGACAGTGAGGTCCTCAGGGCACAGCGCCCACAGCAGGTCCAAATAGGGGTCCAGGTCTCTGTGCTGAGCCACCTCGCACAGCAGAGTAGTGAAAATCTCCTTGTTGAGCAGCGGACTCTGTTTGCAGAACTTCTGCGCCACCTGGGTGACCCTCTCCCACTGCTGCTTGGCCATGAGGATCCTCAGCGCCTGCAGTATGGCATTAGGCCGCCCACTCACCAGCAGCAGCTCCACCTCCAAGTCCTGGCGCTGGTCTCTGTCCGGCATCAGGGTGGACAAAACGCACAGGGCTCGTTTGTAGAGTGGCACTTTGTTCTCCCCGCCCTCCCCTCCTCTTCCACCAGAGAAGCCCCAGGAGGAAGAGGCCAGGCTCATGCCCAGGCCGGCTGAGCCCTGCTGCTGCTGGGCGAGCTCGAGGAACTTGGGCAACCAGCTGGGCTGAAAGTGGAATACTGAGTGGCACAGGAGCTCAAACACAGGCAGGGCAGCTGGGGAATAGGAGCTTGTAGGTTTGGCTTTACAGTTGTGGATGTAATCACCCTTGAGGCTATGATTGTGTTTTGGCTCACCGTTGGTGAGTGGGATGCCTGATGGGGTGCTGGGTGTCACAGCAGGACTGAGGACAGTTTTCCACACGTCTGGGGGAGCCCTGCTAGACAGAGATCCCTCCCCGTTGTAGTGTAGCTGAAGGGCGGCCTGCGCTGCCTTCCACACCTGGTGGGGGAACATGCTGAAGATGGAGTTGAGGTAAAGCAGGGCCTCTTTATCCAGCTCTGAGGCAGACAGCAACCTGGCTACTTCTTTCTCAACTAGACTCTCACACACCGCCTCCACCTCTTTAACATTCCCCCTCACTAAACTCCCCTTCACCTCCTCCAGAGAGACCAGAGCCTTGAGCTCAGCCTCCAGAGAGCCCATTAGCTTGTCTTGCCCTGCGTCGCAGCCACCTCCTCCGTTCTGGGACGGCTCTGCTACTTTCTGCCTCAGCCCTGTTCTGAGGTAGTTCCTGAGGATGGAGGCTAAAGAGATGGGAGCCTGGAACCTTCCTCCCTTCTTTAGTGCGTCCACAGTGAGCTGGGTGCTGCTCAGGCTCCTCTGCTGGTAGTATTTACAGGCCTCCTCAAAGACAGCCTCTATGAGGAGGGCTCCAGGATGAATACTCTCCACTCCAGGCTTCAGCTTAGAGTTGCAGTCTCTAGAGTCTGTCCCCTTGTTCACAACCACATAAAGTCCAGTTTCTGAGAGCAGGTGAGGTGCACATCTTTCAGCCTGGTTTACATACAACACCCCCTCTCTCTTCAGTGTTATATTTTCCAGCTCTCTGCCACAGTTCACGTCTATCAGATGCAGGTTTTGACCTACCAGCAGCGCCAGTGTGTCCTGATACATGCAAAGGCTTGTGTGAGTGCCAGATTTTACCAAGCAGTTGTCCATCAGTTTGAATACCTGCCGCAGCACCCCATCTTTCTGCAGGAGACACACCCACCCTGTGCTGAGCAGCAGCAGCAGGCCTCCACAGGCTGCAGGACAGAAGTCGTAGATCTCAGGTGGTTCAAGAGTTGATAAATATCCCAAACAGTCTGTCACCAGCCTCTTTAAGTCAGACTCTTTAGCTGAGAACTTTTTCAGAGGAGTATTTTTACACGTGGTGCTGACTGTGAAGGAGTCATGGCGAGGGGACCAGCAGAGGAGAAATTTGGAGACACTCAACAGCGGCTTCGCTTTCACATCTGGCAGAAGATGCACATATTCACCTGAGCTGACCACAGTGAATTTAGGATTGTTGTGCAGGGCGATTTTCACCCCTCCCAAGCTGACAGCCCCCTCCTCCACCTCGTAGTCACGTCTGCAAACACAGTATCTCAGCTTATTCCTGGTGGAGCTGAGGGCAGGGGTGCTCTCTGAAGGCGGCCTCTCCTCACACCAGATGATAAGGTTGGGACAGGCACACACAGACACCACTCTTGCTCGGGGGCTGTTGCATAAGTCCGATGTTTGCAGGAGATGCCAGCCAGCTTTGCACTCCTGGAATTTCCAAAACTCAGCTTTTCCATTCTCATAAACCACCGCCACAGTTGCTGTGTCTCCGCCACCATTATTATTATGGTCCAAGTATAAAACATCCACGACAGGCACGGGTTGGATCAACCGCAAATCCAGTTTCTTCTGGTTCTGGGCCGGATGGGGTCTTTCATACTTGTCAAAAGTCACAAGACCGACTTTAGGCTTGTGGAGGATGACATGAACATGACGTCCATCTGGGCTCAGGCGAACATTTGACAGGCTGTTATTAAAGACCTCTGTCAGCTCCTTACCGCCACTGTAGTCCCCGAAATCTGACAGTTGCTCCAACACCAACCGCGCCATAACTCCCGTTTCCAGCCGCTAACAGCTGAAAGTAGTTTGTATTTAACTCGCCACGACGTATCAACTAGCCTGCTAGCTTGTGTGGCACTTAAATCTGACCTCCGGAGAGACTAACCGAACAGCAGCATCCCGTTACGAGAGGCTTCACCCCGGTGTTAACGTCCGTGCGGAAGGATACATCCTCCGACACCCTTCGACCCCGGTGACCCCATGTTGGCAGACGACAACGAGGCTAAACTGTTAGCTGACAGAAACCGCTGGAAAAGTTTTAGGTCCAAACCGAGAGAGCCACTGAAGTCATTCCGATGCTATGCTAGCTCTGCCCTGACATCACGAGATTGCTAATTTCCGGATACCGAGGGCGTTTTGCATAAAAGGCGGAGCGACATGGAGACGCACAAAGATTGTGAAGAGGCAGAGAGAAGAGCAACTGCAGCTGCGCAGTGGGCTTCAGTCGGCCGTTTGCTCCAGCTGGTGAGGCAAGTTTACAGAAAACACAGTTAAACATCTTAACATCTTTGTGTTGTAATAAAAAAAAACAAACATGTAACTTAAAAACAGACTGCTTAAAAAGATCTATCTATCTATCTATCTATCTATCTATCTATCTATCTGTCACAAGCGATTTTATAAGACTACAGCAGTAGAAAAATCTGGTGCATATTGCAGTAGCTATTATTAGGGTTAGGTAAAAAAAGGATAGCAGTAACATTTTTGGTATCTTTTATGTTTCACTTTATTGGCTTTTGTCTGTTAGGTTGTTGTGATTTAGCAGCATGCTGCACAGCAGTTTTGTTGCCACCTGCAGTTCTGGAAACTTCTTGTCCATCCAAAATTTTGCACAGCTTTTGCATCAGTATGTGTTGAAAACAAGTTTAAAGGAATACTTGATTCACAAAATGACCATTTGTATTTCAGTTTATTATACTGTTTATTATACTGTGGTAAACCTTGAACCTTGAAGAAAACTTTGTTTTTCTCGCATGCCTCCATGGGCAATGGAGAAAACATTGATTTATTGATTGAGTGGGGACCATATCCTCCTGAGACCCAGTGTCCTCATATGAGGACATCACATTTTGGGTTTACTTGACCTTATACATCATTCTTAAAGTGATAGTTCAGGTTTTTGGACATGAAGTTGTGTGAAACACTGACCATCTGTAGCTCTGATGTGACGGTGTCACTACTGTCAACTAGCCTCCTGCTCTGAGAAATGGCCCGTAGCTTACCTGAGAAAAAGTAGTTCTGAAGATATAAGGGGGACACGTAACCAAAAGGTTTTAAGCTACAAAAAAGTATGCATGTGTTTTGTTAGACTATTTCAATAATTTTAAAACATCCCCGCTTTACGTCAGACCTTGCTATCAATTGGGACTATTTTCTGGCCAGTATCACTCCGCTGTGCAGGCCCTCAAGACAGCACGGCAACAGAAATCAATTAGACAGTTCATCACCACGCTGTGCAGGTGTGCAGGATAGCAACGGCTAACGAAAACTTCATTGGCTGTTTCCAACATAGAACCAGTAGGCTATTATTAGTGAGGTATAAGATGTACTAGCCCTATATATACCTACTACTACAGCGCGAACACCGGTTCAGGCTCACGACACACCCTCGTCAGCTGTTGTAGGTAAACAGAGGAATACCAAAACTTGTGATTTCCCCAGCTGTGGGAATAAAAACATCGCCGGCTCCCAATTCCATCAGTTTCCTGTTACAGATGTAACCCGTAGGCAACTTTGGCTTGTGTCAATTGGGATGAACCTCGCTACCAAGCCGGCGAGGGTGAAGCAACTGTGCGTATGTCAGGCTCACTTCAGCTGCCCACAGATCCCGACGGACAGAGAAAACGCAATTTCCGCACTGCTGTGCCCAAAGAGAGATATATTACCTAATACCAGTCTAAAAAAAGATGTCTGTAACTGACTGTCTGTAAAACAAAATGTTTGATTGAACTAATAGCTTGTTGTGTTGTGGAGAGTACATTATACACGGCCTCGTTTTACCGTCGCCATTTAGCTTATTATATTAGGCTAACTGCTAAATCCATGACATGAGTAATCAGTCACATAGAAATGTGAATTCATATGTGATTACGACCAGTCTCTGCTTTGTTCTGGTGGTGGGTTAGCCAAAGTTGCCTACGGGTTACATCTGTAACAGGAAACCGATGGAATTGGGAGCAGGTGATGTTTTTATTCCCACAGCTGGGGAAATCACAAGTTCGCACCATTTTGGTATTCCTCTGTTTACCTACAACAGCTGACGAGGGTGTGTCGTGAGCCTGAGCCAGAGCCAGCGTTTGCACTGTAGTAGTAGGTATATATAGGGCTAGTACATCTTCTCCCTCACTAATAATAGCCTACTGGTTCTCTGTTGGAAACAGCCAATGAAGTTTTCGTTAGCCGTTGCTATCCTGCGCACCTGCACAGCGTGGTGATGAACTGTCTAATTGATTTCTGTTGCCGTGCTGTCTTGCGGGCCTGCACGGCGGAGTGATACTGGCCAGAAAATAGTCCCAATTGATAGCAAGGTCTGACGTAATGCGGGGATGTTTTAAAATTATTGAAATAGACTAACAAAACACATGCATACTTTTTTGTAGCTTAAAACCTTTTTGGTTTTGTGTGTCCCCCTTATATCTTCAGAGCAACTTTTTCTCCGGTAAGCTACGGGCCATTTCTCAGAGCAGGAGGCTCGTTGACAGTAGTGACACCGTCACATCAGAGCTACAGATGGTCAGCGTTTCACACAACTTCATGTCCAAAAACCCGAACTATCCCTTTAACTTAGACCTGTTGTCCTCATTCATGGACACTTTTCTGTGCCATCTAGTGGTAGTAAGAGCACAATACACTAATCCATGTAAAAACAAGATGGCTGCCATCTTTGCAAGTCAGTCTGCTGCCGATCCTCACACAGAAGTGGACAAGGTCCAGAACCTGATAACACTTTATGGTAGAAACTTGATTATTTATGATTAATAATGTTTGTAGTTTGAAATGACAACAAATTTGGCCAATCTTATTGTCTCATTTGGGGATATTGGGACTTTATTGTTGTCTCATTTGGGGATATTGGGACTTAAAGGGATAGTGCAACCAAAAATGAAAATTCATCGTCCGTAGTGATCCAAGTGTCCTGAAGCCTCGACGTAAAAAGTTGTTTGGAAAAACGTCATTGAAACTCTGTTTTTAGTCACATTGTAGCCTGTAGTTCTAACTGCCTCTCTGTACACCGCGCTCACGTGTGTGCGCTTGCGCGTGAGACCAGCGAAAGTACGTGAACACACATGAACGCCGTGCCCATGTCTCACCGTCTCACGCAAGCACGCACACATATCACCTTGGGTCATCCTTCACCTTCTCAAAATGATCCCACACTTTGGATTTCCTGCCCGACATGTTATTAACTAGCCTGTGGAATAACCACAGGTACCAGCCCTGTAAATCAACTGCTGAGGCTGTGGCCACTTCCTGTGTCTGTCCTTTCAGTAGTTAGGTTTGATTTACTTTGACAAGGTGCAGCTCCTTATAGAGTTCATGTTTTTTTTTCTGCGACTAAGCGACCAATGAAATCTTGCCAACTAATGACCTTTCTGGTTGACTTACATGTGGTCGACAGGGGGCAGCCCTAATATCAACACAGTTGTTTACAGATTCTCACGCAACTTGTGCAGTATAATCCAAATCTTATTTATCCAGCCATATGCTCAGTACTTGCATTTTCACTAAAACCTAACTACTTAAACTGAAATGAAAGTTGTTGTTGTTGTTGTTGTTGTTGTGTGAGAGTTTGTGAGCCGATGCTTTGATAAAGTTTTGCTGAAGTTTTCTTCAGTTTCAAGGTATCACAGCATGACTGATTTGCAAATGTCATTTTGTGGGTGAAGTATTTGTTTAATGGCTCAAAGGTCGCCATGAATGAGATTTCCAGTCAGTTCATTATGTGGTGTACTTTTGATGTCAGTTGTAAATGCTTAAGTTTTAAGGTAAATCTTTTGCTTCGACTAGTCAATGATTTGTCAATATTTTTATACCATTCAGGTGTTTCCTTCAGCTGAAAAGCAGTGGGAAGCTGGGGGAACTACAGAGAAAATTGCAAGTCATCATTGGGTCACAGTTTTGGCAGTTTTGGCTGTGTTTAGTAAGTGCTCAGATCCAACTTCAGCAGCTGACCTCGACCTCTCACCTTTTAACAGGCAGTGCAAACAAAAACAGTGTCTCACTGGAGAAATCAATAAAATTGCAGATTTTGTTTTGTTTATAAATTCCCCATGTTATTGCAGGATAATTTAAAAGAAACAGAGCAAAGAATATGTGCGGTAATGCTGGTGCTGTTTGGCTGTAAACAGCTTGAAAGTCACAGCAGGTGAGTTGAAAACAATATCTAGATTAGCACAAATGAGGAGTCCATTTCCTCATTTGCTTTAACAGAACACCTTAAAGGATGTTTTAAAGCTAACCCACACACAGTGTAACTATGGAAACTAGTTTTACCTCCACATATCTGGAGGCAAGAACTCATCTTAACTGAATGAATCTGAGAAACTGTTCCACAGTACATTTTGGCAAGAGGCTTTGAAAACTAACCAACCTGGGAAACTGATTCGCTTAAATCAGCTTTGGAAAAAAAGAGCCATCTTGCCTCACACCACAGATTGCAGGAGGATGAGGACAGCCTGGTGGGCGTCTCAGGGACCAGCTAACATAGCACCCAGACGTAAAAAAGGTTTTGTCTTTGAAAGAAAGTAACATTTATTACAAAGGGAGTGAAAGGCTGAGAGTGGTGACTCATAGTAAGGGAAGTTTGCCTGTTGTGGAGGCCTTATTTATTACTTTAACAAACTTTCCTGGCAACTTTCAAGCCAGCCCACACTGTACTGACATTTAGATCCTTAGATACAGACAAAGGAATCTGTCATTTAGCTGGCAATGACACACACCAGTTAGGGATATCCACATGGTAGATATTTGATTTGTTATCTACTCTTGGTGGCATGTTGAGGCCAACTCAAACAAGCCGCAGAAGGTGTCAGTTACATTTCCTTTCCTTTATAGAGAAAAGAAATTGGCACTAAATATTCTTGCAGCTTCTTACCTGCACAGGCGTTTAAGCTCACATATTGTGAGGGCACCAGCAATAAAGTAAAGAACATGTTTGCTTGTGTTTAATAACATTAAATAAATTAGCAGACAAGCTTGTGATACCAATATCATAATCAAATCATGGTGAAAGTTCCACTGTCTGCTTCTTCATGCCCGTATCTTTGGCACAAGCCTTTGGTGGCATGTCTTGATTTTCCTACTACATTTTGACAAATTA